AGGCGCCGATAGACCCAGTAATTGTGGTTTTGTAGGATGCTCATTTTCTGATCTTACCAGCCACTGGGAATGTGAGAAACATTCCAATGTGTGTAGGCTTTTCATTGATTTAGTTTTGCTGTTTCTGAGATCTCACAAAAGAAGAGAAAAATCAGAAGAGAGACAGACATGTATAACATACTGTATATACAGACATCCCACCCTCATTTTAAAGCAGACAGATGATAACTGGTGGTAAAAGGGTTATCAGTGTATACTAAATGGGATGATATAACATCATAGTGATGAAAGGTAATGATAGTCTCTGATGCATCTCTCTGCCTTAAGGGCTGTCGGACGATTGAGACCAATGTCCATGGTCTTTTTTTAAATTCAGGATCTGAAAATATGAATTTTAATGGAAAATGTTTTTCACTGCCAAGAAAAGAGGATATGTGCCTGGAACTGAGCCTTGTGGGTAATAATTCAGCAAAAAATAGCTGAAGTTTAAACACATTGATGCATCTGGTCTTATGGGATTTTGTCACCTTTGACCCTTTGCGATTATTAGTTTTAAAGAACACAGTATCTCATAGAAAGGTAATATCTGCTTAAACTGGACCCTTCAATAAAAATGCACTGATGTGACTAGGGCAGTCAGTTTCAATAAATGCCATGACAGATGTATTACCTGTATTTTTTGCCAAATATTTTTTCCTGTTTCATTATTGTTTTCAGTTTGGATCATTTTCATAATTTCACCCGATCTGACATAGGGTGTTGAATTAATCTCTGGGCTTCTGCTAATTTCCTGAAGTGTCATTATAATGTGATGTTGATCAGCTTTTGCTTTTGTTGTCCTGTCTGTGAATCCGTCTAGATCACAAGGTCATCAGTGTGGTTTAGGACTGAGTTTACGGGGCTCCAGTCAGTTTGGAGATTGAACATGTGACAGAGGTCTCACACAGCGATCATGCGCTTTGCCTGCACTGTGGTAGACTCTTGTGATTTGCTGTATTAGCTGGGATCAGTGGGTAAGTTTGAGCCTAACAAGAGTTTAGGAGCCTGGCTGGGAATAGAAATAGGTCACCTGATGGTGCAGAGAAGTGGATTTATTGTATGTTATTGAGTAGAGTAGGTTATATCAAAGAGAAAAATAAAATAGAAGATCTTCTGGATTTTCCGTGCTTCTGCAGGGACTGTGTGAAAGGGAGGATGGTTTGTACTGTGGGAAGAATAAGAAGTGACAATATCTATTTCGGCAGAAGTACTGTGGGAATGACCAAAATGAGGAATGTGTGGGGTGTCGTGTGAAACACATTACATATTGCATCAGCTCTAAGGGTCCAGAGAGCTCATACTGAAGTGCCAACCTCCGTTTAGCATTGAATGAGTCAGAACAACTGATCTGTCATTGCCTCCTTTTTGTTCATAGCCTTTCTTATGTTCTTGCGAATTGTTGGACTTCACTTTTTTGTTACAGGATTTGACCAGGGGGTTAGAGTGTGGAAGATGTATCGCGTAAAATATTATGTGGCTGAAGACTATTGGGTGTTTCAGGTTAAAATTGCAGACAGAAGGTAACTGAGAGGTCGTGTTCAAAACCTTAACAGTGAACATCTGCTTAAGGAGTATCCTGTACAACTGGGTAGTGTGTTTTATGGGTTATTTAAATAGATGACTATGTAGTGGACACTCCATTACATCTCAGTTACTTGTAGATTACCTAAGAAAGAACATACAAGTGTGGCAATGAGTTTTCGACAAGAAGCTTTGAGAAGATGGACACATTTTTCTTAGTTGAACCTCTTCAGTTTGCACATAGGAAGGACAGAATTACAGACGATTCAGTTCTTACACTTCCTCGCTGGGCGTGTTCTCATTCCAAGAAGCTTGGGTGGCGTTTTCAGACTTTTCAGGTCTCCATGGGCTCCATTCAAGCTCATCACAGGTCATGTTTGTTGTGACAGATAGGCTCTAATCTGTTAGGTCAATGGTACAGTATGTCCTCCAAGGTTAAGGTCATCTCCAGAGGAGTTCCTCAGGGATTCCTCCGTGAAGGTGACGTTAGATACTGTAACGAAGCGTTCTTTCCGGACCCCACGCAGACGACACAATCCGGGGATGAGTGAGGAAAACACGGGGAAAAAAGCATGCAGGAGTCGGGAATGAAAACAGGGGGCGTGCCCATAGTGCGCAGGTGTTCTGGGGGGCGAGTCCGGGGCAAACAATCCAAAACAGAGTCCAAAGAGAAATCTAAGAGGAAGGAAAAAAGATCCACAGCCGGGTGGTCCATCTGAGACAAAGACAAACAGGATTAAAAACCGGAGCGGGATCCGGTGGAGGGTCGGGGGGGGGGAGGGGGAACAGGACCAGGCGCTCAGATCCTGGACTCGCTTGGTACGGGAACCAATGCAGAGCCCGGAACAGAGTGAGCGTCTGGCTTTTAAGGTGGGCTGGAAGGAGGCTGGAACAGGGAGCAGGTGTACAAAATCAAGTCCGAAGTGAAAGAGCCGGAGCGCCCTTAAGGGGGGGGGATACAATCGTGACAGATACAGATGACTGTAGGAGAACTAGTCCTGAAAGTCTTACCAGGCAATATTCTAGTACTGAAGACATATCGGACACTGGGGAAACATTTCAAGGAGAAGTTGCAAACTTTGCTGTGGTGTCATGATAATTGGCTGGACGGAGCAGAAGATCCAAGGATGATTTGGCATTTGATTTAGGAAGAACAAAATATGCAGTCAGTTTCCTAATTATGTATCGTCTGCTGGTTGAAAGTCTAGGTGAATATAAATAACTAGGCATTATAATACAATGCAAACATGTCTGAGGTGCAAACAGTGCCTTGTTATTTTAGAAATGACAACATTGTATGTTCTTCCAATTCTGCTGACAGCTGAATGTCAATCAGGATGTCAATAAGCATTTTATAGGTGCTTCAACTAACCTTTGGTATTCTAGCCTGGTTTGGTGGTCTCAGTGTTGGGAATAAAAATGCTGAACAAGACAGTGAATCAGAGTAGCAAGACTGACAGACCTAAGCAGGAAAATCTCAATTGTTTGGTTTTAGGATCAAATTTGAAAGATGGGAAGGCGTTTTTTAAAAGAGAAATTTCTTGAGTGTAGTTTGCTGACCTTAGGATGTAGATTTCAGGGTTTGCCTCTGAAAACCAGTTTTTTTGTACTACTTCCACGAGGAGGTTGAACGCTTCATGTTTATTTATGTTTCTAATGTGTGTATGTCACTAATGGCATCACGCCTGGAGGTCCCTTAAGTGGAAATAAACAGTTATTTGATTTCAAACAATGAACACCCTTGCAGTTTGGGGTGAAATGTGAGAGCAGTAGCCAAAGTGAATTATGGTATGGACATTATTTAGCCACCAAAGTATAGTCGAGCTACAGGAAACAGAACGGTCTTCCAATAACTCTATAAAATAACTAAAAAATCAGAGTTAGTGCATAGGATTTTGTATGTAGAACTGTTGAATGTAACCGGAAACCAAGGCAATGCTCTGATGATGATGATGATGATGATTATAATTACTGATGAGATTGATACATTGATCCTCTAACTCAACAGATGAAGAGGCAAGGCAGATCAAGGGGTAGGCAAAGCCTTCTGCAGAGGGGTGAAACCTCTGTGTCCAAGACCATGCAGACACCCTGACATTCCCACAGAGAGCCCTGCCTTTCAAGGCTCAAAGACTTCATCCCCAAGTTCCTACTTGACATGAATAATTGCGATCTAGAAAATGAAAGGAAGCCGGCCTAGTTAAAGACGAGGGGATTTTCAAAGTCTCTCAGGAAGAAGAAGCAGGTTGTTAGAGTTAACACATCTTATTAAAAATTCTGAAGGCAGAGCTCCTTCCTGCTCCTTCCTGCTTTTTATGTTTTAAGCCGAATAATCAACATTCAATGTTACTTTTGTTGTTCTACTCAATTAAGCTGTACAAGAACAGGGGGAGTATTGGTGTTAAATATAGACTTAATAATAGTGTTCCATTTTTAAAATGGATTTGAGTTCTTCTTGAGAATTGTTTCTAGGCATTTTTTCGTGTTATGCTTTTTGTCTTTTTATTCATCGCCCTAGCGCTCATTAGAAGCTGAAATTGACACTCAAAAACTGCTCCCACTGAGATGAAGAAGTCCTCAGAATCCATACGGAATAACTACGTGCATGGAATAAAATGATCAGTGTTTTATTGCGAGTGGAAATATGTGGTAGCTGCAGTATTTTATACCGCTTAAGAGAAAGCAATCTTGTTTTTAGGTTTTATTTTTCTGAATTATATCCATATAGCCATTATAGATGAAATGGTGTATGTAATGAATTTTGAATCCTAACCTGCCTGAAATGGAAAAGAGTGATTGTTTTCTTTCAATTCCAGGGCTTATCAGCATGGTATACAGCTCTGTTTGTGAGCTATAAAGATATTAGCATTGGCTGTTGTAAAAGACTGAATTATGAACGTACCATGTGTTTCAGTTTCTTAATTAGAGTGATGGTGCTAAAAGCATACAAAGCATATTCATGTCATAATTGTGTCATATTTGATTACGTCTTACTACTTACTACTATTGCGACATTTCCAGCACTGTAACACTTCTGATGACTATACAACATCCACTGAACAGCAAAGAGGGGGTATAAGTCAGATAATCCGTGTGCTGGTGTGTATGAATTCATCACCTCTTCCTTGACCTCCACCTAGTTTGTGTGCTAAGGGCAGAGGCAGCTACATTGACCTCTGCCCCCTGGCCAGTGGTCAGTCATGCTGGACACCTGTACTGTAATTTACCTTACAGGCAGTGGCACCACAAGTAGTGCAGCAAGATCAAGTTGTTCTGTGTATCAGAATAATTCAATTCTAACAATACTGTTAGCAGAGCTTTAGAAAGTAACAGACCTATGAATCATAAAGTGACAAAAGAAGTCTGTTATGCCAAATGGTGTTAAAGACTGTAAAAATGTATTTTTTGCTGTACAAATGACATTTGCCTGTTGTCTTCAGGTACTGTACTGATGTGGTCTGCTGTGTGATCTTTGTCGTCATCATCCTGGGCTACATTGCTCTGGGAACTGTGGGTAAGTAATGGAATTGCAGTGTGTTACATCATACAGTCTCTCATGACCTCACTCTCTTGCTGTTGTTTTACATAGTGATTGGGAGTCCATTTTCAGTCACTTTCTGATCTCAACCACATCTGAGCTTTTTTTCCTTTTCCCTGTGACTCACAAGTGGTAACACATAAGAATCTCCTGGGAGTCATTTGCATGATTTTTTTTCCCCAAAAAGATTTGGTTGCATCTCAGATCTGATGTTTTACATAAATAGCTAAATTAGGACCTTTACAAATGTTTTGACTAACAGTTATTTTTAAGTTATCATCCTGGAATTATGCTTGACTTAAATTGCTTTGTCAATTAAATTACATTGCATAGCATCAGGCTATCTGCTTTTATTATTTGATAAATTCAGTTTAGGCAGTGCATTAGCTGAATTAAATTCAGCCATATCACAGTATGAGTCCCAGGGAACTTGGAAACACATCATACATCTAAAAATTGTCTAACTCCCACGATGTTGTCGAGATTAATAATATTCTGGTAAACACTGTTGTGGTTTGTTTATGCAGAGTACTCAACTTCCTGTGATAAGACCACATTTGCATAATTTTGATCTGTGATAAAATCTTGATGCAATTTTTTTTATCTTGAAAAAATGTCTTAACTGTGCTAGTGTTTGCTGTTATGTTTTGTAACCACTCTATTGTTGAATAGAAGATCGATGCTTATATAACCTCTGCTCAGGTGCCTAATGGTAAACTTAGAAGGTTTTATGTACTGTATGGATCCAATTCTCTATAAAGGTTCGTGCATTTGTAAATTTATGAGCAGGACATTTGTTTTACTGTCTGAGTGGGGGCTAATTGAACTGGAAAGCCAAATTAGGTATTTTATGTCCCTCTTTCTCTAATTCTACAATGCTCCGCTGTGCGTTAAAACCAACACAACCCACATTTTGCAAATGTTTAACTGATCTGGTCGGATCTCAGTGCAAAATAGTGTGTACTGGTATCGTCATCTACTGTATGTGGGCGTTTCAGAAATGCGTATGTCCAGTGGGAAGAGATCTCTGAAAAAGCACTGCTAAGACGTGGGTGTTTTCAGTCACACGAGAATGAAGGATCATCGGTTTGAAAATTAAAGTAGATCCAAGTCATTTCCATTGATTGAACTCAAGCGCAAAATTAACCTAGGTTAAACAAGAAGAATATACAACACACATGGAAGGCTATCGGAGTTTTGAGCCATAAGAAGGACTGTAGTGTGCCAATGTGTGGAATGCTCTTTTCTCTCTTTTAACAACACACGTTCGCTTAAAAAAAACCTTTGGGAAGCAGATAAAACAGCATGACATACAGTACATGCCAAACCAATCTGGTACTGCACTCCTAATTCCTCGACAGTACAAATGAGCAAGAAGGATCAAAAAAGGAAAAAGAGGAGCTGCTGTGCTGGAGTCTCCTAGACTTGTGGTTAATTGCATAGATGCAGCGTGTCCCCCTTCTATCTGCTGGGAGGGTCCCTTAATATTTTATATCCAAAACTCAGTAAGGCATAACTTCCCACTGCCTTCCTCCCCCAGATCAAAGGAGCTTTCAACCCAGCTCTTTCGTTTAGAGGTCCTTATGGAGAAAGCCATGTATGATGAATGAAAAGACTGATGCGCGGTGCATTTATCCTGGAAGACGCTCGGAGCCCTGCTTGTGCTGTACAGCACCGCTCTGTTCGAGAAGGGGGGAATGCAGGTGGCTCT